CGTGTGTGTTACGCTTTGAAGAGTGTCTGTATGAATTTAAATTCAAATCACCTTTATTCAAAGAGAATTATTTACAAGCACTTTTAAATAGTCATTTTTTAAATCTACTGCAAGGTTCGGAAGGTTGTTTCCTATTGAGAAATGCCCGCAAGAAACTCAACAGTTGCTTTTTTAAATTTCTGTTAACGTTATGTGTATTTATTTAAATGTACTATGCCTAAAATTACATGGTCGTTAAAATCCCATTCATGATCGACTAACACCGTGCACATTTGTGATTCTGGTAATCGTTTAGTGTGTAATAGGTTTTGTTTAATAAGTGTTTTCTTAAACCTATTAAAGGGGGGGGGGGGGGGGAAGGAATTGTTAGCAATGTAGTTTGACAGCCCCATTGCTAGCAATATGCCTTATTAGGTCGACCTCCACGTGGTTCCCCCTGGAAACCATCGTGAACAATTCTTGTTGAATTCGTCACGATGGGCTAACTGACCTACTTCATCCTCACCTATCATCCTTCATTGATGCCCCGCCGGTGTATACCGATAGCGCGGGTGGGGTTACCATTCCATTATCGTCCATTAAAAAAAACCTATTAAAAGGTACATATAAATATCCTTAGGTATCTTATAATAATATTTAATGCCCATTCTCATAAGAGATCTAGTAACTTTTTCTAAACGGAATTTTGGAACAAGTAAGGTTATATTTGTGTCTAGTCTTGTCTATGTCTTAATATTGTTAAGATCGCTGTTTTTATTATATTATATATATAAATAAGCCCACATAATAAATAACTAAACGTAATTATATAAAATTTAATACATGTGTTCTCGGAAACTTGGCTATTTTTTATATTATTGTTTTTTTTTTTAATATTTTATTCCACTTATGTTTTTTTTGGCACTTCTTTGTGTATTTTATTTTTTAAATACACGATTCACGAAGACGTACGTGGCGTCATTATTTCCCAATCACATTGGGATCGACACGGAAAAAATGGAAGATCAAAATTGGCGCAACCATGTAACATAGCTTATAGAAACAGATCACGCAAGGGATAGAATGGACGGTATTATCGCTGAAAGCCATGCGTATCTCTAATGGTTTTTATTTGGACATTAGTTGGAATCTTATCTGTTAGACTTTATATTGCAGTTAATTACTGATAAGGTGCATTCCGACAATTACTATGCGACTTTAAGTATGTACTTAATTACTACGTAGATTTTGTTATTCGTGTACGCTGCATTGGTCAATATTTTCGTTATTTCTGGACCGGTTTTGAAAATTTTCTTTTGCATCTGAGGTTATTGTATTTAGTCTCATGTTAAATTATAATAAAAAGCTATTAAAATATCAGGCCAAGTGTATGAAGATGCGGTTCTTGTGAGGATCAAGCTTGTGTCATGTCTCATGTAAACCTCCTTCAAACTTCTTTATTTTATTCTATTTCATAATCAAATATAAACGTTTTAGTGAAAACTCAACTCGTGGTAAAACTACATTAAAGATTTTCTTGTATAAAAAAGGTAACCTTGAAACTACTGACGCTAGAGGGCGTGACCTTCCTACGTAGGAGAAGAAATTAGTAATGGGGATTAAAGGGGGAAAAGTTATTGTTAGTAATGAGTTCTAATCTAAAAGCCCCATTGTTAGCAATATACCCTATTAAATCGACCTCCACATGGTTTTCCCTGGAAATTGTCGTAAGTAATTCTTGTCGAATTCTTCACGATGAGCCGACTGACCTGCCTTTAATCATGATCATCAATCACCGATACTCCGCCAGTGCATACCGCTAGGTTTATGGGATACCATTCTATATATATATATATATTGTGCGAGAACATAAATGGACCGTATGTACGACAAGTTTTTTATATAAATCCGAGAATGTGAAAACTGAAAACTGTCAAGTTGTTTTAAAAGTTGTACTAAAGTACCTAGATTCAAACTTAGTTCAAGTGACTTACCCTTTGATTAGCGTAAATTCCTTTTATAACATACTCAGATCACTCAGTTCCCTTAAGCATGCTAAAGTTACCTGAGATTACCTCGTAAATGTTATAAGAACTAAGGGATTCGATCTTGAATCCTCCGGTAGACGTTTCAATCTTGAAAATGTCTTTTTAACGACACGAGAAATTATCTTTTGCGTAGTTTATTTAGTAAAACAAAAATATTAAATTCTAAAATTCAAGTCTCGCGATTGTGAAATTAAATCTTTTACTTATTAAATATTTTTAAGGGCGACAACGACAAAACTGTTCTGTTTCTGTTTTTAAGAGCAGACACCAACCACCTTTTTTCATCTTTCTACCTTCAATTAAAATTATTAATTGCCACATACTAGAATAAAATGTTCTTATGAATTATCGAGAATGTTGCCATGCAATTATAAATCTATATATTGTATATAGATGTAATAATTATTATTACATTTTATTATAATTATTAATATATATATATATATATATATATATATATATATATATATGTATATATATGTATACCGTATGTATATATGTATATATATATATATATACATATATACTGTCAGCTTGTTTGCCATTCTAAGTTGTATAAAAAAAAAAAAAAAAAATAAATAAATACATATAGTAAAAAAAACAAAACTCAGCACTATACCATACAAATTCACCAAAACTAGTGTGCTAGGAGAGGTACATTTCCGACTTCATTACAGCTGAAAACTGACCGTCATCTAGTCCCGATTTTAATCTATTCTGATATGATTTATGGTTCTATTATGATGAGGGTATGGCATGCTATAAACGCCATGATATTATTGAGTCCTTGAAGGAATCCATTAGAGCGGTGTTGGCGAATTTCCCCATCAAGAAAATGCATGTTTCAATTAATAACTGACAACAACCTAAAAGATTGTTTCAAAGTCAAAGAGGACCATTTTCGGAAGGTTCGCTTATAAATTGATATAATTTTTTTCTTAAAATGTTTTATGCATTCGAAAAAGGGCGTTCTATTAAATTAATCCCAAAAGCTGGCTGATAAAGAATGTTTATAGAATTAAGTTTTTAAAATATAATAATTTTATTTGGTAATTTAACTAATTTGTGAAATAGGAAAAGAAAATTGATTATATATTCGTGTGTTACTCTCTCTTTCTCTCTTCGTCCATTTCATTACTGAAGGTCGTGTTCTCGAAAGGTGTCTGTTGTCTCTCTTATGATGTTACTCCATTTCGCACGGTCTTCAGCTTCTCGCAGGGCAGCTGCAATTGACAGTCCCGTAACGGCGGTTACTTGGTCCGACTATCGACTAGGCGATCGTCCGCGTGGTCTTTTTTCCTCTATCTTACCTACAACTATTAGCTTGTCCATATTGTCGGACTGTCGGCGAGCAATATGACCGAAGTATTTAAGAATCCTCCGATACCAGATTGTCCAGAGCCTATCTTTTCTGCGGAGTTGCGTCAGGATAGATGTGTTCGTGAACTTTGCTGTTGAGGGAATTCGCAGCATCCTTCGCCAGCACCACATCTCGAGAGCATCAATCTTTTTCTCTTATTGTCCATTACTCGAATCCATACAAAAATATCGGAAAATCAGAGTTACTCTACAATGTTTAAAACAAACTTCTTTGGTCCTTGGTCTTTATTATCATTATTTCGATCTATTATAATACTTTAACATGCTCATATCTTCATATGAGTTGATTCAAACCACTTGTATCTAACGAATTTCTGGAACATTTTTTAGGTCGTCGCTCTATGATTAATGTACAGGTATGCATGTAATATAAATTACACATGTAAAATATTATGTTACTCCCTCGTGCCCTGTAATTTTGCTATCGTATCCCACTCTTCAAATTTAAATATAAACGTGCTTGAATAACTGTTTGGCGGTGAGGATATTCTTGCCTAGTCACTGTGGTATTGCTATAGTATGTCTCTTTCATGTCGTGTCTGTCCCGGCATGGAATGGGCCACTCCTTTCTTTCCCGTGGGTATCGTAAGAGGCGAAGGGAGAAGGAAGGGAACTTATGGTAGAGTGATTGTCAGTAGCGTCCCTCTTAAAACATCTCTAATAACCTAACTGCGGTTGCCAACCCGCCTGCCAAGCGTGGCGATTACTGGCAAAACTCCTCTTACGGGGAAAGCTATGTTCAGCGGTGGACAGTTAATGGCCGAAATAAAACAAAAAAAAGTCTCTTTCAACCCCAATAACAGTTAATAGGTTTTCTAAGTGAACGAGCAGTAATTTTCATCATCATCCATCTTTCATTATACCCAATTATTTTAATTGATTCTTTGGACAGCGAAAACATAAGAGCGAAACAAAACATAAGAGTAACAGCCCTGACAACTTTGGATTCTAATATGTTCGGAGAAAGGAGTTCGACGACACTAATCACCAACTATTAACTATTTACTCTAATTACCCTATAAATTATTACAGTCATAAGTATATTCATTTAATTATTTTTGTTTTAATAATATTGTAAACTTTAAATACAAAATCTTAAAGATTTTTTTAAAACCACAAAGGGGGCAAACAAGCATATAGCCCGTCTGATGGTAAACGGATACTGTAGCCTATGGACGCTTGCAACACTGGAGGTGTTACTTGCACGTCGCCGAAGCTGAAGAAATCTTAATATACCCTATTTGAAGAACCCCATACTGTAGTCTCTAGAGAAACCCTCAGCAGGGAGCTTATTCCACAACCTGAGCGTTCGCGGGAGAAAGTTCCTTTGAAACCGCACTGTACGTGACCATTTAGGTTCAAGCGTGTGAGGTTGAATTCCCTGTCGATAGCGAGAGGTACGATGATAAAAGGTGGCTGCGGGCACCATTCCAAACAATTCCTCAGAACACAATCCGTTATACAATCGGTAGAATACACAAAGGGAAGCAAAGTCTCGCCTTAGTCTTAAGGGTCCGCCTTTTGTATATTATTAAATTTTGGTCAATAAAGTTAATTAAAATAAATAAATAAATTATCAAAATAATTACTTACTTCACGAATAATATGATGCCAGTCTTCTCAATCTGTCTGAAGATCCCTTTCCAAGACGCCAACATGCAGTACTGTTGTTTCGCTGTCAGCGGTGACCGTGGATCGGAAGGTGGTGGTGGACGATCTATTGCCTCCTGATTGAACTCCGACGCTGCTAATTTTGTTAATTTACATCCCATTTTTTATTATAATTTTTTTTTTTTTATTAATTTAATCCTTCACTTTTTCACACCCAAATTATTTTTCAATAAAATTTTTAACACTTTTTATTCACTTCGATATTTTTAACGTTCACTGCCCGGCTTGCAATATCGATCACTGATGTTTGATCCAATAAACTGTCTATTCTAAGATATTTTTGTTTTACGCGTCCGATAGTTAGTCTCTCAGCGGGTTTTATAATGTGATTTGAATAGCTGTGGGTTGCAGTGATTGCTCTGGTATGCACTAGTAAATAGCTAATGTTTTCATTTCCACAAAGTTAAACATAATTAAGATTAATAACGTGTTTTTAATGTATTGTGTTAGATAAATAAGTATTTAATTTCTAATATCATTAAAACTGGTTATTATCTAGTTATTTTCCATGGAATTTGTATTTGGTATTGTAAAAGTGAATTAGACTAGTATTGTGATCAGCGCTCTTTTTGTGACTGAACATTTTTTTTTTGTTACGAAAGAAACACTTGCTAATAGGGATGTGAAATATTTTAGCTGCTAATTGTAAAGTGACTACAAATATTGTCACATGTTATTATTGTTATAGTGAGTTCACGGTTACAAATCTAGCAATATGTACCTATTTTGAGGCCAAGTGATATTTATAATGATTAATGTTGTTATGAAGTCATTAATAAATTTAATTAGAATTTTATTTGTGTGTAAACATTTAACTTTATAAATAATGCCTAAAATTGTTTTGGTCACTAATTGATATATAAAATATTTTTTTTTTAATATTTTATTGTACACAATAAAATTACATTGTTATAATTTATTTTTAGTAAAGATTTTGTATGAGCTTGATAATTTAATGTTCTGTGTACTCGAGGGACTTTCTGTCCGCGGATTAAACTTTTTTCTATATTTACTTCGTCTTCCCAGTATTTTAATTATGACAAGAGATTAAGAAGTAAATTAAAATTAAAATAAGTTATTACATACTAGCGACCCGTCCTAAGGCTGCACACGTGACGGAAGCTTAAAAATGAAGTAACTTCTCCCGTTTTCCCAACATTTCACTTCACTGCTCTGCTCCTATTGATCGTAGCGTGATGAAAAGTATACAATAACCCGCCCAGAATTATGAAGAATAATTGTACCAACTTTCGTTAAAATCCGTCGAGTAGTTTTTGTTTCTATAACGAACATACAGACAGAAATTTTACTGATTGCATTTTTGGCATCAGTATCGATCACTAATCACCGCCTGATAGTTATTTTGGAAATATATTTCATGTACAGAATTGACCTCTCTACAGATTTATTATAAGTATACATTATATTTTTTCTCTTTGTTCACATTTTTGTATAAGCAATAAGTACATTCTAATTCTCTGAAATGCTCGCAAGGTTGACAGAAAAACGTCTCTATTTAGAATACTTGCGCCTATGTATCTATTGTGTATTTATGTAACAAATTCCTTGCTATGTGATATGTGCAATAAAAAATTCAGATTCTATTTTTATATGTTTCATTTCATTTCACCAGAGGGAGACTTTGTACAAAAGTCGATTGCTTGAGTACCTCTGTCCCATTCGTGTTTCAACCGTGAAGCAGTTGTGTTTGCATGGCTGTGCTTCGGTTTGAATAGTGGGATATAGCGTGAATTTACTGGATACAGAGGAATAACACCTGAGTCCTCAAGAATGGCAACGCATGGGGCGTATCATGTGCGAAACAGTATACTGTTATATCCACGGTACTGCTCATGTCTATAGGCGACGGTTACCACTTTCCATCAGGTGGGCCGTCAGCTTGTTTGCCATTCTAAGTTGTATAAAAAATATATATTGCTCATACAAAAGGAAAATTTTTCCGCGGACAAATTGTTCATACCTCAGGCATTAAATGTCAATTGATTACAGTGTAGCGTGACTTTTATAAGTAAGCGGCATCGACGATAAAGGGCCAATAAAAGAGGTTTTTAAATCGTAATCGGATACTGAATTATTCATATTATAGTCACTTTCAATACTATAGCTGCTTTTAATATTAATTATTTTATTTGAAATTTAACCTTTTTTACCTTAACAGTTGTTCAAAATTAACCTTTTTACATATATTGACAATTGCAGGTTTTTATAAAAAAGAATATTTATAAACAATTGAAATAGAACAAATATATATATATATATATATATATATATATATATATATATATATATATATATATATATATATATATATAATACATCAAGTCAACAGACGACAATTTTATATAAATAATATATACATAACAAGAACCAGCATATTTTACAAACAACAATAGTGAAGAATATAAGAATCGTCAATGATCTATTTATTAATTTTTACTGCTCAATTTATTTTAAAAGTCACGATAAAAAAAAATACTATTTAGAAAATATTGTTATTTTAATTCGTTAAAAAAACCAGTTATTTCGTTATCGAACTATCGCCCATCACTACCAAGCAAACATCATACAATTTTATGACGCGCTTTGCAATTGTATGATAATAACGCTTCCTTTTTCGAAATTATGGTCAAACTACGCCATCGGGTGATCCATAATTGATTGCCAAGTAACTTTCATTCTTATTTTTTAAGAAATAACGTCCAATAAAAGATTGTATCCGTCATTGCTCAAAATATGCGACCTGAATTTGTGGTTTCAATTATTGTAATACAGTGATAATGACTGATCAACAAATACAGTTCATACTTAACACGCTTAGCTTAACCTAGTACCAGTCGGGGGGAAAGGGATTGTTAGTAATGGAGACTGAGAATCCCATTGCTAGCAATATACCCAACCAGGTCGGCCTCCTCGCGGTTCCCCCTGGAAACTATCATGGTTAATTCCTGATAAATTCATCATGATGGGCCTGTTTTCATTCTCATCTATCACCCTTCATTGGTGCTTCGCCAGCGTATCCCGTATAGCTGTGTTTCGGTTTGAAGGGTGGGATACAGGCCCCACCCATAGACATTTTTTTATACAAATTAGAATGGCAAACAAGCTGACAGCCCGCCTGATGGAAAGTGATAACCGTCGCCTATAGACATGAGCAGTACCATGGACATAACAGTATACTGTTTCGCCCATGATACCCCCCATGCGTTGCCATTCCTGAGGACTCAGGTGTTATGTCTCTGTACTTGCCTTCAAATTAAAACACAGTCAAATACAACTGCTTCAGAGTAAATACACTAATGGGACAGAGGTACCCAAACAAACGACTTTTGTACAGTCTCCCTCTGGTTTATTAATTTACTATCAAATTTAATTACTGTATACGGCTTTCAATTCGAATCAATTAAATCATTTATTGCTATATCATGTTGTAACAATATAGGTCTTAAGCTATTAAAGGTAAAAAATCAACGTGAACACTGGAAGGGCACAAAACTTTGGTACAGTGGCGAAGTTTGAAAGGGAAAAATAGATCCAGAGCTAAAGTCATGCTAAGTATAACTTGCTTACACCTGCCTTGTAATCTAGTATACTCCATCGATTAACTTTACATCTCAACAAATACTGATTTAGAAAGAAAGAAAGAAAACATTTATTGACACCAACAAAAAGTTACATAAATTATGAATAAAAAAAAAAAACTTTACATTTTTTTGCCATTTTGCCAACGTGGCCACCACTCAGCATGTGCTGCAGCAATTTAATTGCTACAGCGCTGATATTCTGTGGGTGCCCATGCGTGACATCACGAACGACGACAGCAAATATATATATATATATATATATATATACATATATATATACACATACATACATACATACACATACACACACACACACACACACACACACACACACACACACACACACACACACACACACATATACATATATATACACACGCATTTAAACTTATTATCAATAATAAACGTAAAAGTTTATGCAATTAAAAACAGACAGCTATTAATTTAAATAATATTTATTTTTGAAACCATCGTAACACTTTATTACACAGATCTTAACGACATTTTACAACACATTCATCTCTTAAATCGTATTCATAAATACAGTGAATATAATTAACTCACGCCTATACACTCTCGAAAAACTTATATATATAATATATAATAATTTAAATTTTGCAATTTGATAATTATATAAATTAATGAACGAATCTGTTGTTCCGAACATTAATGAAAACTCATTTCATTTCATATATAATATGTACTTATTAATTTAAAATGTTTGTAATTTGGTAATAACATTAATGAACAAGTCCGTTATACACGATGATAATGAAAATTAATTTTTATTATATAATAAACGAATCCGTGTTATTCGAGATATTAATGAAAATAATTTCACATTATAACAATATAATTGTTGTAATTTAGTGATTTCATAAATTAATGAACTAATCGGTTATTCGAGACATTAAAGAAATTATAATTTGTTCACGCATATATTATGCATAATTATATTTTATTATTATTATATATAATTATAGTAATAGAAATTAATTTTATAATAATAATACAATAATAATAAACGAGTAATTTATTCAGTATATTATCAGTTTATATTATATATAGCACAACATAAACTAATGTAATATTACCATTTAAGAGGCCTTGATAAGAAATAGAATAACTCCAACGTTTGTGTACCCTTCAATTTCTATGATATGGGGAAATTATATTAAATACGTGATATTAATGAAAATTAATGAAATAAAAATAATTCAAATATTAAATTTATTACTTCCACTCTTCGTGGTACTCGCCAAAGGTTCAATTAACCAAACAATCAATAAAATATTTATTTGTGTGAAAGGAGCAAATAACAAATAAAGGTCTTGGAAGTTGAAAGACTTGCTTTATATTATGTATTGTTTGGAAATTATTGTAAAATTTCCAATAAAAAATACAACGATGTAATTGTCGTTGACATAAATTTGAATTGATTTCGAAATAATGTCAAGGTAACAACAGAATAACAATAAGGACGCCCTCTTACTTAATTATCGTAACATTCTTATTTAACAGGGTTGCCGGCTTTAAATGGGTTTAATTAGATTGTTTTTGAAACAAATTTCTATTAAAATGAATTAAATTTAATAATAATTGTTTTGTTACATAGATAAATACTTACAGTAAACATTTTGAAATATTTACTAAGCTATTAGGGTTCACATATTTGCCTAGAAAACTGTCATTTAATATGAATTTGAGTTAGAAATATATGTAAACAGGTGGTCTACCATGAAATGAAATTCCGAAGTTTCGGGCTCAAGTTCGTGTTTTTGTTCGTACCGATATCGACCCAGTAAATGGAGCTTAACATTTCGTTCACCATATATCCTATCCTAATAGTTCAGGGGGACGATATATTAACATTTTTAATAATTTTAAACGGCATGTATTCTGTTATTTTAACATCAAATTTTTGTTTCGTTCGTCCCCGAAATTTCGGAAAACATTTCATGGTAGGCCCTCAGTTTTAGAATTGTATTACGAATCACCAAATCAGCCGTTTTAAATACTTTTTAATATATTATATTGTAATGAACATGTAATGTAGGATCAGTAAACTTAAAGCTTCATTCATATCTGTGTTTTTTATACACTTTTTTTTTTATTTTAATAGATCCTCAATAATAAATACCAACTAATTGATTCTATGAATAAAAAATAACTCAACTTGTAGCATGACCACAAGATCTGTATTTGATTAGTTAAAGAAACTGGAGTTCAATAAGTTTTTTTTTTTATAAATTATACTTTAAAATTATATATAGTATACATATAGACTGGGCCCTGGACCCAACTGTGCTTCTGTCGAGGGTTAGTTTACCATTTTCCCTCTTTAAAGAGGAGAGATGTGAATTTCTTATAAAAAAGAGATAAAATACGAGTAATAATCGTTTTCCAAATTACATTTCGAGAGATTGTTGATGTCTGTTACAGAATTCGAAATATATTCGTGTTAATGTACCTACACTCTTTATGCAAACATACTAAAATTGATAACAAAGTCAATTATGTCATTAAAGGACGATTTATAAATGCTGAATTAACCTTCTATTTGAGACAAAAATAATACATTAAACACAGTCCTTGTTAGGTAAATACTATGTTAAACATATATAAATTTATCGTACATTTTTTTTTTGTAAAAGTATGAAATGTATTAAAAAAAATATAGCTGTTTTTTTTTTGGTCTGGATGCGTTTATGTCTGCAGTACAGTGCAGTTGTTTAGTGCCCATAGCACAAGCTTTGCTTTCATACTAGAGGACACTTTGTAGGATGTCCAGTGATATACTAGAAAAAATAGTGTTTTAAGAAATGGCAACATTTCTATTTAATTTAAATAGTATGTTAATATATTTACTTAAATAAATTATGTAATATTGAAGATGATGACGAATCCTGACTGTTTTTAGCCACGACAATCGCTTTTAATAATTAATTGTCTGCACAGGAGGCTGTGGTTGGCGTTGGTGAGCTCGGACGTGGCTTACATAGCCAATCTTTTTAACAAAAGTTCTTAACCCTTCTTTACATGTTTTTTTTTTATTGGTGAAATAATAATATAATAAAAATAATTTAAAAAAATAAATTTCACAGCTTTGTTTTTTTTTCTGCAATGGACATTAAAAAGGTATCCAGACACGATCAACTTAAAGTGAACTTGGTCTTTTATATAATTTTTGGGCATTCAATTTTTGGAAATTTCGACCATTATGCAAAGAGCGGTTAATATTGATAGATTATAGAATAATTAAATTTATCAATCAATTAAATTAACATACAGTAAATAGAACCAGAGTTACAATAACAGAACAAAACCGTTACTTAATCGTCCAAGATTCAGAAGGCTCCGTAATGTTTAAAGCAAACCTTCCTTCTCAGGGGCAAGACATAAAAGCTTATCTTTCTCGACTTTTGAAATAACAGTAACTAAAATTACCCGAACGAAAGGTTAATTGAATAATAACTGAACCTTTTTTTATTTCATTTTATAGTACCAATTTCGAAAGATAATCTTATTATAAAAAAAAATTTGGGTATCTGGACATTTTGCAATTAAAGCATTTTGTATAGCGTAAAATAAATAATAAATAATAATAAATATTTTTTATTAGAATTATCAGTAATAGAATCGAATTAATTAATATATTATATAAGTATCATTCATCTAATCCCTATTTTTTTTATAACATAAGGTACAAACGGGCATGCGGCTCACCTGATGGTAAGTGACTACCGCCGCCCATGATCACCCGCAACACCAGAAGCATTGCAGGTGCACTGGCGGCCTCTTAAAAAGGAATATGAAGGTTACGATGTCGTATCGGTTCGGAAATACTGCTGCTAATTTTTAAAGAGTAATATATATATATATAAATTTTTGAAATATTATAAAAATATTACATTTATATAGGTATTATAAATACATTTTAGGACTGATTTTTTAAAATGTTTGTCAATGTTGGAATACAGTTCATAGTTGTGTTGCAACTTGTTATTTATTATTTGACATAATATATTGTTTTAAAATGAATACAAGTACAGCAGTCTAAAAAATAATACTTGTATTATTATTTTTTTTTGGACTGTTTAATATAATTTAATGCCCCCTTTTTGACAGGATTCACGTCAGAAGTTAATGTTAAAAATATTTGTGCGTATAAGTTATGCATAAAATAAACGAAGAAACAGTAAAAAAATAGTGTACTTATATAAAAAAGTGGATTTATAAAATGTCCTAAACTTTTCAAAAATATATAGTTACTGTGAGAGTTTTTTGTTTTTTGTTAATCTAAATCTAAATGTTCCTCATATTTTCTATGCTTCAAGTATTTGTGTGACCAAAATTTTGTGCAAATTAAACTATAAATTATAAATGTATTACAATAAGTTTGAATAAATCAACAAATATAATATATAAGATAAAATTATCCATTTATACACGGAAGACGCAATTTAAAATATAATGCCCAATTATATAATTTACAATTAATATAAACATTCAATAAACAGATTTAGTGCAACTTTATAATAATAGATAAAATAATGTAGTTGGCGTCATAATAAGCATTCGTGTTATATTTAAAAATTATACATATTTTAATTCCACAATTAAGACACAGACTTACAATTTTAAACTAGTTTAACGACGTCATTCTATTATTTTTTATTTTTACTGAATTATTTTTTTTTTTTTTAATAATAAGCAATAGTAACACCATCGGGATAAATTTTATCTCGACGGATAATTAATGGTACATATTTATTAATATTATTATTTCTGAACATAATCAGGTTCAACCACTATGAACTACTGCGCATAAAATAAAATGTTCTATACATAACGTTAATATTCACTTTATACACATTTATAAAGTTTATAACTCTTAATAGATGCTTACATATAGTTTTTATATCAAATTGACCGTATTAAATTCCACATTACCACTTTCACATCGAGCCAGCGTTGTCGGATCATCCGGTAAGAAATGGTAACGCCGTACCCGTTTCTAAGGATACTATTTCTCTTATAACAAAGTCTTGAACAGTTTACCAGTTGTATAATTTGCCTCGAACTATACATTCTACTTAGCTCACGTCGCGTTCGAGTTGCCAGCCTTCTCATAGCCCTCTATGAGAGTCTCTAATATAAACTTTATTGTTATTTTGTATATATTTTCCACGTTCGGCGTATACCGGTCGCCCAGTGTGGACTCCACGGCAGCAAGGAACGGCCTCTCGATTTTCTGAAAGGAAATTTTTATAAATGTAACAGTTTTAGTAGATATTTTAAATACACAATAGGGACTTTACGCGATGTAAAAGCCTTTATCTGTGTTAGCCTGTAGATTGCATCAGGTCGTGGTCACTCCACGTCGAAACTTCGACAATAAAGATGTAGGTATGTAGGTACTATTTAGCTGTAAAGGCTTTTACATCGTGTTAAATCCCGATTGTGTATTTAAAATGCGTTTAAACAACACTAAAGTTTAAAATTAACAAATTTTAGCAGAGTTAGCAATTGAATTATAATGGAAATTTGCACTTCATATTTGCGATACCTACATTCTATAAAAATTAAGTGTAAAACGAAAAAATGCAAGCCACAATTGTTTGTTTCACGATAGTAAGCGATAACTGCGGACTGTGGATGATTACAATGTATTTTTGGTACTTATATATTAGTGAATTTTAATATCTTAAGGATTCTGAGACTTTGAGTATACAGTTAGTATGTCGGTTTCATACATATTCCTTTCATTGTACAAATGAATGGAGCTGCTCTTGAATCTAATATTAATTTTATTAATCCAAGCTATTGCCAATTAAATATTTTTTTACGACCCAATTAGGTTACTATTGGTATTAATTTTTAACAGTTTGCATTAGCAAGTTTCACCGAGATGCATCTATTTGAACAATATGGAACCATTATATCGCTAGTACTGTAAATCGAGAGTGCGAATCTTTCAATTCCAATGTCGATCTATTAGAATTTATTTCAAGAGTAACCCCACAGATTACAGATGTGCTAATGGTATGGCAACACTTGAGAAGGTATATCATGGACGTCATAGTGATATTTTATGATATTCATGGTGCTGCTTATAGGCTATGATTACCATAAGGTGAAGCTTCAGCTTGTTTGCTATTCAAAGTTGCGAAAAAATCTGAACGTATTTACAATATTATTATATTTAAAATAAGTGATGTTCTATGGTACACAGTAATTGAACATTTAGTTAAATAGATATAAGACTTTGTACAAAAGTCGATTGCTTGGGTACCTCTGTCCCATTCGTGTTTGAACCGTGAAGCAGTTGTGTTTGCATGGCTGTGTTTCGGTTTGAAGGGTGAGATATGGCGTGAATTTACAGGGTACTGAGGAATAAAATCTGAGTCTTCAGGAATGGCAACGCATGGGGGGTATCATGGGCGAAACAGTATACTCTGTTATGTCTATGGCACGGGTCATGTCTATACCACTTTCCATCAGGTGGGCCGTCAGCTTGCTTGCCATTCTAAGTTGTATAAATTAAAAAAAAAAAGTATTTTTTATTTATTTAAACTTTAATGCGTAGTAAAATTCTATGTACATTTGGCGGACTTAACACCGGATGGATATATATATATATATATTCCCAAAGAGGGTTGACGTCAGGCAGGTGGCCGGTCGTAAAACTAAAAATCAAATCTTTTTGTAATATGGATAAAATCATATTACGCCGACCCCAAACAATAATTGGGATAAGGGTAGGAAGATGATAATGATGATTATAATATATTTAAATATAAACTAAAAAATTCTTTATTGATAGATATTATTATGTCAATGATGCGGACGATCATCGGTGAATAGCGCAGCTGTCATCCAATAGCTGTCCCGGAGAAAGCGCCTAATCATACGTGTGAGCAACAAAACATTTCGCGGCCTATTGCTAATGCTTTAACAATATCTATTTATAAGCGAATTCTAGAAATAATAAAATCTTGAATCTTGAAGATACTTGTGTGCTTATGAAGAGGAATACCCTGATTCATTCAATTACTGCGTAGCCCAGTTTAATATAGAAGTTTTAGATTTTCACAGGCCGTTTACCTTATGCGTTGGGGAGCGCTTAAGTAGGGATTTCTCGAAATTGTAACTCGACGAGAAAGAAGATCGCAAAGTTTTATATAAGAAATAATATTTTGTGGGAAAATGTACTTAAAACTTGGTACTTTTAGATAATTAATGAAATATTCGAGTGTACCGAGGGTACCTATCACAGTGTATTTTGTGAATGAATGAAAAAGTATATTTCAATTTTCATTCAATAAAGAGAGAAAGAACATTAGCGATACAATATATACGAGTATATAAGACGAAGCTCTTTAGCTAGTACATGCTGCCAGTGATGACGTATTTCCATACGTCATCACTGGCAGCATGCACCCTTGGGTTCCCCCAAACATGGCCCTACATGGTTGCCCGTATGCAAAAGCTCGGTCGGCTATGGAGAGGGCTATGCTCGGAGTTTCTTTGCGTGACAGAATCCGAAATGAGGATGAGAAAAGAACCAAAGTAAACGACATAGCCAGAAGGATAAGTAAACTAAAATAGCAATGGACTGGTTACATAGCTCGAAGAACTGGCAACGGATGGGGAAGAAAGGTTTTTGAGTGGCGAGTCCGTATGGGCAAATACAGTATGCTGTTCACAAGATGGAGTGACGACCACAAATTCATTGCAGGGAGTCAGTAGATACAGGTGGCTTAAGACCGTTGCTTATGGCAGTGTATGGAGGAGACCTATATTTAGGACAGATGATGATTGAGATGTTGATGATGATATTAATATTTAAAAAAAATATATTATCTATAATAATATAATAATAATATTATATGTATCACATCTCCCATATTTAGAACTAACAGATTTTTTCATCGTGCCTCCCACCAAATTGTTTATAATTACTCCTCTCCATCCAAAGGTTGCCTGGAAGAGATCGCTTTTAGTGATAACGTCGCCCATTGTTTTTTCATTGTGATTATTTCTTGTAATTATTTATATTTATAATAAGTTTACTATTGTAATCTTTTGGAGGAAACAATAAAGAGTATCTATCTATCTATATAAATATTGTTTATATTATCTATATATATGAATTAATGCCACTTTTCGTTGTAATTTTATAACTCAAGAACGGGCTCACCTATCCAAACTAAATGCTTAGGCTTTGTTTGGACTATTTAGTATATGGTTTATGTGAAGTTTGCACAAAATCGGTCGAGCAATTCTTCATTTATCACATTTTTTGTAACAAATGAATTCAATAAATGGCGGATCATTTTGTTAATGAGGATTTTTGTGTCAAATTCAAACTTTTTTCAATGCTGACAGTACAAGCGTGTTGTTATGTCATTCATGCGGTCATTTCATATTGGACGTGCTTCGATTAAAGCAAATTGTCAGCGATAATTATTGCTTTGTGTTTATATTATTAAACTTTAATATACTTATAAATTTTTTTTTATTATTTCACTTTATACGTAGCGAAGCACGTACCGGGCCGCTAGTTATATATATACAAAAATATATATTTTTTCGCTCTAATATAATTGATCAACGTTGTCGAACAGGGGAAGTAAGGGAGGTTTATGTCTCTCTTCCGCTTACGGGGGCGAATGGCTAGCCATGACGGTAATTCAATGAATAAAATATTTCCCTTATCCTATAAACGGGGGATCCGAATGTGTTACGGTGTTTGATTTATCGCCCTGTAACATTATTGTCGAACTAAAAATAAAAACTATAAATATACATACTAGAAACGTGTAATGTATCACAGCAACTGTCGCTAAAGGCATCATCATATCAGCTTTTAACTGTCCACTGATTGACATAAGCCTCCCCCTTGGGGGGTTTTTTTAGTAGTTGTCATGCTTGACAGGCAGATTGGGATTGGTAACTGCAGTTAGGCTTTAGAGACGTTTAGAGAGGGATACTGCTGCCTATCCCGTGCCTTCCCTTAGTCGTCTCTTACGACACCCACGGGAAAGGAAGTGGTGCCCCCTGGAAACCATCGTACTGAATTCTAGGTGTATTCGTCACGGTGGGCTAACTGACTTGCCTATTCATCTCACCTATCATCCCCCACTGGTGCCCCGTCCGCGTATATTGTTTGCGCAAGCTTACATTATCATCCATTAAAAGAAAAACGGGAAAGGAACGGGTGGCCTATTCAACGCTGGGACCATACGGGATGATGCTAAAGGCATACGGTCTACCAAAAATAAATGGGAATTTGATATTATCATTTATATATATATATATACTAATATTACAAAAGTGAAAGTGAGTGTTTGTTTGTTTGTTATCTTTTGGCATTTTAACGGCTCGACTTATCGTCATGAAATTTAATATATATGTACTATGTGCAACGGAGTATATAGGTTACTATTTATTCCTGTCACGTGGACGAAGTCATGGGCAAAAGCTAGTACCGATATAACAATGCGAAAGAGATAGAAAGAGAGAGAAAGTTATTTTTTATTTTTTTTTAATTTGTTTGTTATCGTCGTTTAAAAAAAAAACAGTCAAGAAATTGATTAATTTCTCCCCACTACAACATCCGCCACGCCGTAAGCGGGAAGCAAGTACGAGTATTAGACAACGAGAAAAAGGCGGTTCAGTCGCTCGACAGAAACAGAAGGGTAGAACATCATAGGGTACACATCGGTCCTTGTGTAGTTTTACTAAGTATAGAAAATTCAACTTCATTTATAATTAGAAAGTACCGTTATGATTTATTAAATTAAAAATTCATTACTTATGTTACTGATTCGATGTCATTTATAGAATTAAAACTTAGTAACTAGGTTATTCAAAAATATTAACGTTATAATTGCCTAATTGTAATTCTAATAACGGTTTAAATTTATTATTGTCCTAATTTATATACATAATTATTGATTATAGTGTTGTTAAAATTGTCAAGAGGGTATTCAGGATATTATGGCTTACTATGTGATATGTTAAAATATGTATTAATCCTAAAATTGTTTTTATGTTGATGTTTGAAATTACCGAGTGATCAAATCCGAGTGGATATCATAGTTTAAAATTATAAAAGCTAAATTCTTTTAGCATTCGATAGCCTATTTCTTAAGGAAAGTTATAGTTTATTAAACATATACGGACGAAGCCGAATAATGCATCTAGTTATCAATATTCAGGGAAAGTTCCACAGTAAATATAATTATGAGTAAAGCGAGAGGGATATGCTCGGAGTTTCGTTACGTGATGGAATTCGAAATAAGGGTAACAGAAAAACTACACGGACATAGTTCGAAGGACAAGTAAACTCCAGTGGCAGCGGACGTATGATTTGAAGAATTCATTTATTTATATCTTTATTTAATACAAGAAATTTACAATGTGAGTACTGGACCCCGCACTAGGTAAAACTGGGGGTCTATCATGAAATGAAATTCCGAATTTTCGGACTCAATTTCGTGTTTTAGTTCGTACCGAAATCGACCCTGTAAATGGAGCTTAACATTTCGTTTGTCATAAATCCTACCATAAAAGTTTAAAGGAACGATATTTTAGCATTTTTAATATTTTTAAACGGTACGTATCATGTAATTTTAACATAAAATTTTTGTTTCGTTCGGATCCGAAATTTCGGAAAACATTTCATGGTAGGCCCTCTGTATCGAAATCCATAAGAGACCAGAAGGAGACTTTGTACAAAAGTCGATTGCTTGGGTACTTCTGTCCCGTTCGTGTTTCAACCGTGAAGCAGTTGTGTTTGCATGGCAGTGTTTCGGTGTGAAGGGTGGGATATGGCGTGAATTTACTGGGTACAGAGGAATAACACCTGAGTCCTCAAGAATGGCAACGCATGGGAGGTATCATGGGCGAAACAGTATACTCTGTTATTTCCATGGTACTGCTCACGTCTATAGGCAACGGTTACCACTTTCCATCAGGTGGGCCGTCAGCTTGTTTGCCATTCTAAGTTGTATAAAAAAAAAAAAAGATTACTAATTAAATAATTAAATTTAAGAGAACTTTTTTAAAAAAAACAACAGCTGAATTTCTTGCCCGTTCTTGGCTGAAATTGCGTTCCGAATGGGTGGTAATAAAAATGACTATTCAAAAATGATTAAATCTAAGTTTGCTTGTACAATATTTGTTTCTTTCTAGCCAATGCCTCTTCAAATATTAAACGGTTTCCCCTTCAGTAATATGAACATATTTGGTGTATGTAATAAAACATGTGAAGACCTTGGTCCCCTGTCTGTTATTACATCAAAAATATGTACATATGAATAGCGTGGATATTCTAATTCCTTTAGCAGTTTCGAATGCAGTATCTTACGACAAGGTCGATGTTTTGTTGTGAAGAGGATTTTTGAATAATATTCTATATTACAAATCCTAAGTTCATAACCGTACCTATTTTCGACCACCGAAACTGAAATGAAATGATATAAATTTATTTTGCTAGAATTTATTTAGCTTAGGTGGTTTTAGATGGAAGAGGTATACATTTCCCATATACATTCTGCCTCGTATGTCGGCCTGCAAATTATTAACAATATGAAAAAATTACATAACTCTTCTACATTATATTTCCCTTTATTAGTCATACTATTTGACACACACATATAATTTATTATAGTAAATAGAAATAAAAACCTATGTGTGTATCAAAGAAATATGAGTCGAGTCGAAAAATGACAAAAAAAAATATGCTTTTCAAACTAACATGACGCGTCTAGTGCTGAGTCAGCATTATTATTTTGTAACACAGGGGGCAAACGAGCATGCGGTTCACCTTTTGGTAAGTGATTACCACCGCCTATAGGCATTACCAAAATCAAAATCGTAGAAATTGCATATGTATATGTGTTGCCAATCTAGAAGGAATATTTTCTGGACCCTGCAGTAGATTTAAGAGAATGACGTTTTGAAAGTGCTTCTAAACAAGTGTATTCCAATAAAGATTATTTAAATTTTGAATTTGCTCTTTTTTTGAAGGTCTCGATGTCATAACTGTTCGGAGTTGGTTCGATTCTTTGGTTGTGCGTAGAAGGAAATGTCTACGGAAATGCACGGTGGTGGACCGCCACTAATCGAGATGGTCGGGATAGAACTTTAGCTTGTGATTAGCAGTTAGATAGTTATGAAATTCAGCAGCTGGTGTTAATTCGAATAATTCCTCTGAACACTCCCAATTGATATATGCGATAGGAGACGCAGAAAGATGTTAACTTTCTACGGGTTGAATGACTAATTTACATTTTTAAAATCGTGATCAAGGAAATTTCTATTCTATATGTACTATAACAAAACGCAGTTTTAGACAACCTCCCACTAGATCGAATGACGACCTCAAATGCATTGCAGGAAGTCAATAGATATACCAAAACGCAGTTTAAGACAATCTCCCACTAGATGGAATGACGACCTCAAATGCATTGCAGGAAGTCAGTAGCTATACCAAAACGCAGTTTAAGACAACCTCCCACTAGATGGAATGACGACCTCAAATGCATTGCAGGAAGTCAGTAGCTATACCAAAATGCAGTTTAAGACAACCTCCCACTAGATGGAATGACGACCTTAAATGCATTGCAGGAAGTCAGTGGCTATAGGTGGCTCAGGACCTTTGTTTATGGCAGTCTATGAGGGAAGCCTATGTTCAGCAGTGGACAAATAATGATTGAAATGATGATGATGATCATGTTCTATAGCATGGGTAGATACCTAGTTTCATTTTTTATTTGACCTATATATATATTTTGTTTTTTTTTTTAATAATTTCTGCATCGTCATCCCATACATTGTCTAAACTAAACATTCATTCATGCTTACCCAAAAATATTCCACTTTGAACCCCGGTATTTTTCTATGACTGGCCCCAACTTGGTGTATGTACTCGAAGAAGTTGTCTAAATCGTCGAGACCCTTGATGCCCTCGTCGAGCGTGTTCATCACGTTGTTCGCGTGCTCCGCCAACTCCATCGAGTTGATCTGTTCCTCCTTCGTTCGGTATTGGCGAAACTTCTCGAACATATTTAGTAGGTCCTCGTTCTCTTCAAATAACCTGTGTACGAAAGTAAATATACATAAATATATGTTATATATGATACTTAATGGTCGAGACGTGAGTAATAACGTAGATAGCAAATGGAAACATATAACAGATTTAAAATTAGACCTTCAAAAATACAAGTGTGAGAATTGTATCCAATTTGGTGCAGTAGTTTTCGCGTGATGACAGCACAAACATACATATATATGTATATACATAGACAACATTTTAAAAAAATATTACTTCAACTTCTAACTAACTGTCTAAGTATAAATTTATTATATTAATAATTATTAGTAAGAGTGTACAAATGAAAATGTTTTTGTTTTGTTTAAGTTGATACAGTTAGGCAAAACACTATTGTAAATAATCGATATCAAGCTAATTCAATTCTTAAGAATTTAAACAGTTATAACTCTTAGATACGTCATAGACATATAATTATAATATCATTAAAATTATTAAAAAAAAAAAACATATCTTTATTCATTAACAAAATACAATTTATTATTCAGAATGCTTTTTAAGTGGCTAGAGATGTTGTGAAAACATTATATTAACTCGATCATTAGAGAATTAAATTGCTCAATTACTTAGCTAATTAAATATATTACTATTTTAATAGAAAAGGTGAATAGAAAATCGCCTGAAAGGCAATTCTGATCTAAACACTCGTGTCGTAATCGATTATTCGCAATTTGAACAGCCCAGTGTATGTGGGTCAAAGGGTGGCCCCGTAACACTGCGAGACCTTGGATTGTTCACGTATAAAACATTTTATTAATCTGATTTGGGAGAAATAATATTTTTTTAGGCTAGAAACCAAGTAAGGTAATTGCTTTTCAATTTTCAAAAAACATTCGTCGTAACGCCACGTACCTAATATTGATAAATAGAAAATGGCGCTCAAATTTTATTTATAGGATTAAGGAATTTTGCGATTTCACATTTATATATTACAAATAACAGTATACGGGTGTGTATGTAAAAAAGAGTATATCAGTTCGTGTTGTTTCTATATTTTTATGTAAATATGTTTTTGAGAAAATTGGTAAAGGAGGAAGTTTTGTCATAACTGAACAGCTATTTTCCTTTGCTTATCGAAATCCTGTTGGAACAAACAGTTATTGAGTAAAATCTACATGATTCCGCATTCTAAATTCAAACAATTTAAATCCAATGTGTTATTGTATTGTTGTTTTTAGGTTTTTTTTTTAAATATATTAACTATCCACTGTCATATTTTCAACTGACTTCCGACTGACTTCAAGAAAGAAGGTCTTTAAATTCGTTTTTATTTTTTTTATACTTATTAGCTTATAACTCCGTCAGGTGTAAACCGAATTGGAAAAATCTTTTTTTATCGGAAAGATTATACTTACAGATTGGTTTCGTAGACATTTCATCAAAATCGGTTCAGTTACTAAACTAAACTTAGTTATTAAATGAAAATTTGTCATGAAAATCTTCAGTTGTGACAAACTGTCACAACTGAAGTCAGTTTTTTGTGTAACACAATCCTAGTTATTTCCTTTATTTCTTGAAGAAAGTTATTCAGGTTTATAAATGTTAACACTGGATTTTGGTTTAACATAAATATACTGAAGCTGGCTCAAGATCGTTTCTTATGGCAGTCTATGGGGGAGGATTATGTTTAGAAAGGGACAGATAATGGCTGATATGATGATGATGATAAATGTACTGTTACATGTCTTCGAAATTTGAATAAAATAATTACATTGACAGAGAGAGAGAGAGATAGCAGAGCAATTTCTTTAAAAGAAGCGGCTTTCGTAAACGACGCGATATTTCGTGGAAACCTTACAATCCTTACATAATAAATATTTGAATTTATGATACGAAACCACGTATTTATATTTTTCTTCGTAATATATTCGTATATTTGGATTTTTCTTCGTAACAGGCAGTTTTTCATTCCGAAAAGATAAATGGCTTCGATCGTCACAAAATTGAATGAAATAAAAAGAATCGTAAATCGGTCCACAATCGGCGAAGTAAAATGCTGTTTTTTTTTAAATGTCTTTTAAAAATTAATAATTTTTAAAGTAATGTGGTAAAAAAATTATGGTGAATGTGTTCATATTATCATACAACACTGAAATACGTGTAATGTTATAAGTAAGCGTAAATTTGAGTAATTTATTTACGAGATTTGCGCGTTGGGAGTGCTTAATGCTTAGGATTACGCTTAATGCAATGTATGTTGATAGCCCGGGGACAGGGTCTTATTGTGACGCACTTTACTCTCAGATTTTGGTGTGGTACATTTTGCCCTATAAATGAAAACAATAATAAAAGAATAAAACCGGTCAGGTGCGAGATGAACTCACACGTCGAGGGTTCTTTACATAAATTTATAAATATGTGGTAAAATTATTTTTGTTACATTTGTCATACATAATTTATTATTTTCGGCCATAATTTCGGTTTAAAACTGGGCCACAGAATTAAGTTTGTTTTTGGAAGTTTTTCGATAATTTATCAAAGATTGTACTACTTGGAAATTTTGTTTTATTTTTCCTGTAATATTCATATATAATTTTATAAGCTGCAATTATACAATTTTTTAACTCATAAATTTCCCCAAACAAAAACGCTCCCCTTAAGTGGTGGTCACATTTTCTCTTATAAAATATAAATGCATTAAAAATATTTTCAAATGTAAAAATAATTATAAGAATTGCTAGAACATGAGTAGATATACCTGCTACCATTGCCTTTTTGGTTGAGGGATGGGTAGCAGCGTCACCCTTAAAATATTACTAATAGCCTAACTGCAGTTATCAACATGCTTGTCAAACGTAGTAACTAATGGCAAAACTCTCTTTATGGGGAAAGGAGTGGACTAACTGTCCACTCCTTTCCCCACGGCTGTAATGATGATTACCTTTTTAATCATTTAAGAAAAAATATGTAACTGTATAAACTGTGAAAAACAACTTGAAATTATTAGACGTTCACACGCTTACTTCCCAAACAAAAAAAAAAAAATGTAAACGCAATTAGACAATACAGAGAAACTGCTCTACAATAAACATCAGGCGCAACACGACAAGCTTTGAATGAGTAATTACTTCATAACACCCTATTACATCGAGACGTAACAGTTTTACGTACTGTAACACCCTTTGTTTGCATATATTTGCTTAGCAATTTGTTACAGAATAGTTCAACCCTTTACCTCACGATATATTGTTGTCAGAACTCAACCCCTCCGGGATAATACGGCAGGCACAATAGGAAATTTTGTCCCGTCAGCACGTTTTCACATTCAACGAAAATTGCGACTAAAATGTCCACTTTGACGACACGTAATATTATCTCGGAGGGAACAATTTGGGAGTGAATTTAATTGACAGTCGTCTACGAACATCTGGAAAATGGGCCTGCTTAATTGGACCCGATTTAGCAAAAAGTATAATTTAATAACTTTGCAATTTGACAGATCAAGAATTTATGTTAAGTAAAAATTGATTGAATAAATATTCACGTAAACAAAACAAATATAATATAGACAGAAGGCTTCACTAACTAATTGTTGTAGCTTGTTAGAGAAGACTTCTTTTCGACTATAATAGTTGTAGTTTTAATTTTTAAAGAAAGGAGCATATTCCTCTTTAAAAGGCCAGTAGCACCAGAGGGAGACTTTGTACAAAAGTCGATTGCTTGTGTACCTCTGTCCCATTCGTGTTTCTACCGTGAAGCAGTTGTGTTTGCATGGCTGTGTTTCGGTTTGAAGGGTGGGATATGGCGTGAATTTACAGGGTACAGAGGAATAACATCTGAGTCCTCAGGAATGGCAACGAATGGGGGGTATCATGGGTGGAACAGTATACTCTGTTATGTCCATGGTACTGCTCATGTCTATAGGCGACGGTTACCATTTTCCATCAGGTGGGCCGTTAGCTTGTTTACCATTTTAAGTTGTATAAAAAAAATAGTACATTTGCAATGTTTCCGGTGTTGTGGGTGATCATACGCGACGGTAGTCACTTACCATCACCGTATGCTCGTTTGCCCAATTACTTATAAAAAAAAATCAAAACAACTTGTTTTGTTACAATTAAAGTCGGTTTTTTTTTGGGAACATAATCTCACATTGTTATTTATTCTTTGTTATGAGAAACCTTTTGCGAGAGATATTGTATCCGTCTGTGTTGGTCTCTTATATTAATTTTGTTACGATAGATGTGATTGGTCTGTTTTTTTTTTCTGCGGCGTAAAATTCTGCTTGTTACTGAATAAAATCTGCCTCTTGACATACGTTTCGGCTTTTAAAATTTTAAAATTGTAACGCTAACTGTGTTTTATTCATTTTAATATTATTAAAGTGACAATATTTTTTGCGGAGCAAAATCAATTTGTTTCCAGTTTATATATAAATTTGTATATATTCACACACATATTGGTTAACGAGAATTTCATGAACTAACTATGTTTATCGTTTCCTACGATTCGACTTCATCCGCAATTGTTCTTTAAGATAAGTCGAAGAAGTTGTTTTGCGGATATCCTCGTTTCGAATTTTATCACACAAAAAAACTCCGAACGTAGCACTCTCCGTAACCCTCTGAGTAAATTGATTACCTACTATTACTTAGTTAAAATGTATTGAGATTTATTTCTAACTATTGACCCAAAAAGATTGTTATCTACCTAAAATATTATAAGTACGGCAACAGATTTACGCCGAATTACGAAATAAGGGTAGGCGCCTCGTAAAATGGTTTATGGGAATTAAAGTTTAGTTTGGGTTGTTTAAGAGGAGGTAAAATAGGGGTTATTTTACGATATACAGTAAAATTAACGTCCATTGGCATCTACATAAAAATAGGTAAATACACCATTTTGGTCGCTATCGATCGCTATAGTAGCAAAATGAAGTAAATATATGTAGAAACAAAACTACGTAAAGTTACCAATTAAATGGATTAAAAGAAATGGGAATTAAAGCGATCATTTGTGATAATTTTCATTACCATCTGTTGGGG